CGCGCAGTCCCGCTCCGCGCACGCGCCGCGGCCTCCCGGTGCTGACAGCGCGAGCGCGCGGCCGGCGGAGCAGCACGGTGAGTGCGGGCGGGCCTCACCCGCGTCCCCTCCTCGGTCCCCGTCCTCACCCCTGTCGCCCTCAGGCCCTCTCCCGACCCCGCCCCGGGCCCAGTCCTCGGTCCTCAGCCGTGGTTATTCCTCTTGCCTTCCCGTTCCCGGTCCCCTCCCCGGGCCGCAGACCGCGGTCCTCATCCACGTCCCCTTCCTGTCCCCTTCCCGGCCCCCTCCCGGGGCCGCGGACCTCGGTCCTCATCCACGATCTCTTCCCGTCCCTGGCCGCCGCCCCATTCGCGTCCCCTCCAGATTCGGGGCCCGTGCGCGTCCCCATCCCGGCTCGGGTCCCCGCCCCGCCCCAGCCCTGCATCCACGGCTCGGCCCTGCTGCGGGCGGGGGCGGCCGCGCCCGGGAACAGCTGTGGTCCCGGGAGCCGCGCGACGGGGGCTGTGGCCGCCCCCGGGACGCGGCGGGCAGGAGGGGGCGGCCGGCCGCGTTTGCTTTGTCCGAATCCTCCCTCTTCCTTCCGGCCGCCGCCCTCTCCCGTGGCACCGCCCTGGGCGGGCGTGCCTGTCAGGCTCGCGGGCGACCGGCGGCCGGGCGGGTCGGAAGCGTGTGGGTTCCCCCGAGAGGCCGGCTCGACCTCGCCTCCTCGGCGATCCCTTTCTTTTAGTAGCAAGACGGGTAACCTTTCATCCTCAGTGTTCGTCTAAACTTGCAGCAGCCCCAGTGCTGGAATATCTAGTTGGTTGTCAAATGTGGTGCATCTCTTTCCTTGAAAATATTAAATGAAGGACTAAAAAAGTAAAATTAGTGCCTGGTGGATTGGATGGTTTTACAATTTAAGGTTTGTAGATCTAGGTAATTTTGTGTTGGAAATTTTATATTGTTGCTGCTTATTACTGTTTTTTTATTTAAACAGCACATTTAGAATTTAAAGAGTACTTGCAAAAATGATGTTTTTAAAAAGTGTGAGAACAACAGAAAATTTGAGATACACCGTTTAACTGCTGGGTAAAAGGGCAGTTGGTTCTTTGAGTCTTTGCATTAGTTAAATTCCAAGGCTTTTTTTTGTACAGCATGACTAAGCCATTGATCAGAGTCATTAGCTCAGAATACATTGTAATAGTTCAGTGAAAAACCCATTAGGGAATTGGAACAACCTCCTTAAATCTCATAATCTTATTACAGTTCCAGATTTATGTCTTTCAGGCACTGGGCACAGGCCTTAGGGTGGGAAATTTGATTCACTGTTGTTTCCTAAGTATCTGTAAGAATGCAGTGATAGTAAATATTACAAATTTCAGATTGTGTGGAATTATATGTGGGAGGGTAGGCACTCTTAAGAGCCAGTTTCTCCAAGTCATCAAAGAATGCAACATCATGTTGCAGTGGAGCCTGGCAGCCCTGTGCTGTTACGGAGGGGTGTGGAGGACCCAGGGTGTTAACCTCACTGCGGCCTGGCTCATTCACCTTGCTTGGCAATGTCTTCTAAAAACAGTGTAGACAGTATGTAGTAAAGGTAGAAAGACATGCACTGGAATGAGGACAGTGATAGTCTCCAGCAAGGAGGAGGGAGGAAATGCCACTGGGGAGGGGCATATACTATCTTAAATATTTCATAGTAATAAAAACTTAACTGCAGTTACTTAAAGTTTACATTCTTTTTTAAAATTATACATTCTTAAGAATGTTTCATAATGTTGAAAAATAGATAAGTCAGTGTGTAGCTTTCCATATGGGCTATAAACTATCTTAAAACATAATTGTGTCAAACAAAACCCAAGAAATAGAAAAGTCAAAAGTTGAAAAAATGTAGAATTTTTATAACCTCCAAACATAGGTGGAATATGATGAGAAACCAGAACTTTATGTTACAAAGAAGTGATCAGTAATATTCTGAACAAGATACAGGAAAGTTTTAGGTGTCAGATTTCAGGGCATAGACTAAAAATGATTAGCATGTTAAGATTGTAAAAGCACAGTCTTAAACATCTTTTGAGAACCAAACGAATGGCAGGTGCTGTGTTAAGTAGTTGGGGATATACAGATAAGACTTCTAAGAGCTCACAGTCTGGCGAGGGAGATGGGAGAAGTTGAGAAGTCGACAGGTATTACAGATTAGGTTAAATACTGTGCTGAGTGCCCTGAGGAGGGGATTCCAGATATGAGACTGGAAGGAAAGTACAAATTGGCCAAATGACGGTGGGATTGGTGGTTCTGGAGGACATAAGCCCTGAGATAGTGCTGCAGTAAAGGGGAGTGTTGGGAAGGGGTGTGAGTGGAAAGGTGTTGTACAGCATGCATAAGGGGGTTGCTTTCATCCTGAGGGTAGGAAGGAGGATTGGAGGATTCTAAGGAGAGAGGTGACATTTTAGAAAGAGCATAGGCAGTGTGGCAGGTGCTTTGAACCGAGATAAGACTAGTTAGGAAGCCATTAACCCCAAGTGAGGACTGTGAACTTTTGAGTTAGGGCAGTGACAGTAGGAACAAAGGAACAGATGTGTCAGAGAGGGATTGATGGACTAGAGTGGCCCTGAGTTGGGACTGAGTGGATTGGGGTAAGGGTCGGGCTGCAGGCAGGAAGAGACAGATCGGCAGTGTGCCCAGCCACAGCGAACTGCTAAAACATAAGGCGGGTCATGTCTCTCTGCTAAAGTTTTTGCCGTTGTCCTGTAAGCACCCGCATCCCTGTCTCTTTCCCTCTTCATATTCTCACCCTCACTGAGGCACATCCAGGTGCATCCTAAGCCTGCTGTCCTGGGTGTCACTGTCCTCACTTCCCCACACACTCCCTAGTACTTCTTGCTACAATACTATATTATTGTACTTAATTATTTTCTTATTTATTTTATTGTCTGTTTTCTCCACTTACATCCATAAGCTCCACGAGGATGGGGATTTTTATCTGTTGTAGTCAGTGTCAGTGCTTGGCATGTAATAAGCACTTAATAAATGTTTATTGAAGGACTGCATCTAGAATTACTTCCTCGTCTCCAACTGTGTGACTCACTGGCTGGTGACACCCACCAAGATGGGGAAAATGAGAGGAGGAGGAGAAGCTGGTGAGCTGGTTCTGGATAGGTTAAATGTGAAGTGCTTGTGGGGCGGCCGCGTGGACCAGTGGACAGTTGGAGATTCAGGTCTGGAGCTCAAGACAAAGATTTAGGCTGGAGATACAGATTTGAGAGACCTCACCATGTTATCCAAAGCCAGAGGCAGCATCTATAATGACCTCTCCAGGAGAGCATCTGACACTTAGTAGAGACTGAAGTGGCCCTAAGGGTAGGAGCAGTGAGCCCTGGGAAACAGGCAAGAGGAGGAGGTCAATAGCAAATTGGCTAAGAAGTCAGGGAGGATTTGGACAGAAAAATATACTGGATTTGGCTTCTATGAGCTTATTAGTGACCCTTTAAATTTTTCCTGAGGGGCGGGCCCCGTGGCTTAGCGGTTAAGTGCGCGCACTCCGCTGGTGGCGGCCCAGGTTTGGATCCAGGCGCGCACCGATGCACCGCTTCTCTGGCCATGCTGAGGCCGTGTCCCACATACAGCAACTAGAAGGCTGTGCAACTATGACATACAACTATCTACTGGGGCTTTGGGGGGAAAAAAAAGGAGGAGAATTGGCAATGGATGTTAGCTCAGAGCCCGTCTTCCTCAGCAAAAAGAGGAGGGTTAGCATGGATGTTAGCTCAGGGCTGATCTTCCTCAAAAAATAAATAAACAAATTTTTCCTGAGAATATTACCTCCTACGGCAGGAGGGCTAGTTCAAAGATGGCCTGTATTCTTTCTCCCAAGGCATCCTTGTGTCATTCTGCCCTGTAACCTCCTGGATAATAGACTCTTAGATCAAAAATGAATTATGATTTTATTTTTGTTTTAATTAATTTTTAGGGGCAGATGAAAGCAATTTGTTTTTTTTTTTTAAAGATTTTATTTTGGGCTGGCTCCGTGGCTTAGCGGTTAAGTGCGTGCGCTCTGGTGCTGGCAGCCCGGGTTCGGATCCCGGGCGCGCCCCAAGGCACCACTTCTCCGTCCAACGCGAGGCCGAGTCCCACGTACAGCAACTAGAAGGATGTGAACCTACGACATACAACTATCTACTGGGGCTTTGGGGGGAAAAACATGAATAAATAAAATCTTTAAAAAAAAAAAAAAAAAAAAGATTTTATTTATTTATTTTTTTTCCCCAAAGCGCCAGTAGATAGTTGTATGTCATAGTTGCACATCCTTCCAGCTGCTGCATGCGGGACGCGGCCCCAGCATAGCCAGAGAAGCAGTGCGTCGGTGCGCACCCAGGATCCGAACTCAGGCCACCAGCAGCGGAGCGCACGCACTTAACCACTAAGCCACAGCCACGGGGCCAGCCCCGATGAAAGCAATTTGGATCTGTGCTTTTAAATGCAATTGTGTTGCTCAACGATGGGGACATGTTTGAGAAATGTATCATTAGGTGATTTTGTCATTGTGTGAACATCATAGAGTGTACTTACACAAACCTAGATGGTATAGCCTACTACACACCTAGGCTATACGATACTAATCTTATGGGACCGTCGTCGTAGATGCGCTCCGTCATTGACTGATATGTCTTTATTTGTCGCATGACTGTATGCTCGGTATGTTGTCCGTACTTAATAAAGCGGATAAGTGAATATCAATGGAACAAGCATTTTAAGCTGAGTTAAGTGCATATGTAAAGTAGAAGTTATTTCCTTCATTCTAAAATATCCCAGTTACCTCAATTTAAACCTTGGATTGTTCCCTGACTCTGATTGCATAACGTGGCAATTTATGTCCCAGCCTCTCTAAAGTTCACTATACTACTGCTAACAAAACTGATAATAGTAAAGTTAGCATGATAATAGTAAAGTTAGCACCATGCCAGATAAAATTGGTGCTGTAATCACCTCTCTTCTACTGTTGAGGAAGTTGAGGGCTAGAGAGGGCAAGTTCCTTAAACCAGAGGTACACAGCTGAGAAGTCAGGCTTCTAACTCAAGTCTTTTGCTTGTACATTTCA